CAGGCTGTACAGCTTCAAAGCAGAGACTGCACAGATGAGAAGACAAACCAGTCTTCTCCCTAGTACTTGTTACGTGGAAAACACTGTTCGGTGCTATGGAGGATTTGAAAAACAGATGAACACAATAGACTATAGACCCTGTACTCATAGCCATGTGGGAAAGAAGGCAACGTCCGATGAAATATTAAATAGTATCCCCAGAAGGCATCTCAACAGTAATCTGGTTCCCTCCCTTGTTCCCTACAGCAATATGTTTTTTAAATGACACTATAAAACAGTGACACAATACGAGAAAGTTGCTAATTGTAATTAATATTTTCAGAGAATTTGTTTGTATCAGAACCTTTACCAAGTGTTCTGGGTTAACTCCCTTAAATCTCAATACCATCCTATGAGATACACTGTTTTTTTTTGGTACGGGGGATTGAACTCTGGTCCTTGCGCTTGCAAGGCAGGCACTGAACTGCTGAGCTAAACCCCCAGCGAGATACACTCTTGCTATGAACATTTTACGTATGAGGAAATGGAGGCTGCTTCTAGGGGGACCCCCATGTAGCCACAGTGTGACTCAGAATCACTATACTAAAAAAGTGCTTCAAGTTCACAGTTGGGTTGGTTTGGGGCTGTTCGCGGAACCCCTAGCCCAGAAGCTTAGGAACCATGGTGTTTGAAGTAAGTTAGAGACTCACCACAACTAGGCTGCTGTTGAGGAACATCATCTAATGAGGGTGTAACCTCTAAGTGCTTCCCCCTACTCCCTGAGCAGTGGGTTTTAGTGAGACAGCCACTGTCACATTGCTGTCTTCTCTTCCGTGACTCCAAAAATAATAGCACATACCCACTGCTACCACACTGGGAGGGTACACTCTGTGGGGTGTGGATCAGGAAGGGCACAATCACTGTGTTTTCAAAAACTCTTTCTGAGCCGCCAGTGGCAGGAAGTGGGGGTGCCATGCATGTCGTGGCAGTCCTTGGGTAATGACTGTGTGTCATAAATAGGATATGGCATTTCAGAACGTCTTTAAAGCTATATCCTTTTGTTCGACTAATTTAATTTACCAAATGCTCCTGGGAAAAGGGAGGGGGGCCAAGATGCTGACTCTACATTTCCTGAAAAATCAACATTTTCTTTTTAAACTGCTCTCAAAGAAATTACATCTGATTGTTTGCTGGCTCCCTCCAACTCTACCTCTGTCAAAATCCTGCCCTGGCAGGTGTGAGAAAGAATAGATGCAGAACTTGAGTGAATACCCACATCTGTTTTTGGAAAAAGGGAACAGAAGCGGCACAGAAGGAAGGAAAGGAGATAATTGCTGGCTTGAACTGCAATACATTTTACTTGTGGGCAGAGGGCCAGCTTACAGCAGGCGGAATATGCAGGCCCATCTTATTGGGATTCAGGGGTGAGCCTCTGTTCTTGTCCGGAGACAGCTGTAAACCAGCAGCCCATAGCATCACAATCAGGCACAGGGTTTTGTCAAGGAATGCTGATTTGTACAGAAGCGGCTCGGTCTGCCTCCACTGCACCCCTGCCTGGTGAAATGACAGTCAATCTCTGATTCCAGATGACAAGAACTGGATAAAAACTTAAAACAAATGGCGACCTTTCAAAAGATTAATTTGTTTATCAACAAAATGCTCCCTCTTTGTCATCTGAGATGGGGGTGACCTACACTATCCCATATCTAGGCTGAGGGGATGCTGACTATAGTCATCTGTTAAGTTCACTCCATCTCAGCAATTATTCCCTTTTTTATTTGTAGTGACAAGAAGGGCTTATTAATTCACTCTGCTTCTTGTTATGGTTTATAAATGCAACAAGCTCATTCTGAATTACTGCAGTGTAACATCAATTTGTTTAAATCTAATTCTGCTACCGTTGCCAAATTATGTCGTGACTGTAATTGTGGCCATATGCATGGGCTTGGAACACAATTGCGTTTTGAAATCGTCCTTCTACCCACCGCCCCACACCCCACCCTTTACTTCTGGTGTTTCTTCCAATCGTTTGACATTAACACAACCGCCTCATTTCCATTACTTTGTCATCTCAGAGATGAATTTGCTTTCAGCGAGGGAGAGATTAGTACGTACACCCCAAGTGAAACAGTAAAGAATGAAACTATGATTTGTGAAGTGTGGTTGCTACCCAACTAAGTTAGTGAAAAACACTGCATAACATACGACTCATAAAATCTAGAAATCATAATAGTATTAAATTCTACCTCATGAATAAATAAAAGATTCTAAGTTTACATTGCATTATATATTTATTTATTTGGAAAGTGGGACCAAAGAACCGGTATAATTCTACAGCAACTCATATCTTGCCAAAAAGAAAAATGTTTTTATGATTCTTTTCTAGGTCATAACACTTATAATCAGAGTTATTTGTGCAGCAATTCACAGCAGTGTTTTGTTTGGCTATTTTGTTATGCATTCATAATCGTTCTTTTAAAATTCATGTTAACAGATACATGTTTCAAGCCTTTTAAGAAACCCTTTTTATTTTAAAAAAATAAATCAAAGTCAAATTTTCTGTAGATCTTGTAGGGTGTTATATTATAAAGTCTAACTAGAACTAGATGCCAATGAATAAATATGAACAGTACCAGGGATTTTTTTTCCCCGCTCTTCATACAAACAAGGACCCACTCAACAGCATGTTAGGGGTTGTTTGGTTTTTATTTGGCAGATTTAAGATTTGAAAAAAATCAATAGTTTCACTTTTAACGGTTTTGTTTCTTATAAATTATTTTGCATAGTAGAGTCACAGAATATAAAATTCTGGAGGCAGCTTGTGATATGTCCGTCTGTGCAAGGCAGTAGGAACCTATGTGTTTCCAAAGCCCTGAGTCTTCCGGCAGCTGAGGAATGCCTCTCTTCATCAGAACGAAAGAGAATACTCACGGCACCTAAGAACTCATAATGCAGGCCGGCTACCTATACAAATTTGCTGTGTCAAAAATCGCCTCAGATGGTCAATGGCTTTTGACAAGCTGCTCAACTTTCATAAGAAGTAAAGAAACCCAGGGCCCTCAGCTACCAAATAGTAATTCCCTTTGAGCATTCAGAGTAGTTCTGAAAAGCGATTAGCCCTGGTGCCGCTTTTTCTAATTAACTACACCTCGCGGTGCTGGACACATTACTTTAGCATAGGTAATTGCTTTTAAAGAACATTTTTATAAGTGATAAGCCAGGACTGTTTACCCTCAAATGCTTTACATGACTGACTAAAAGCAAATGCCCTAATACTTCTGTCAGAGGACTTTCTGAACACTAATTCTGCTTTATAAATCCAACATGGGAATGCTATTTTTGAGTGCCATCATAAATTTCTATTAACATAAAATGATAGTCAACAAACTGTTCTGATCAAAATGCCAATAGTTTGAGCAAAATACAGATAATGTACATCCAATTTTAAAGTGCTCTGGTGTAGATTTTTACAAAGTCAAATTTTATGAAACAAAAGGATCTTTGATAAGGAAAATGAATGTACATTATCAATATTCATACAGGGCAAAGTGCTCCCCCAAATCCTGATTGCTTGAAATGCTTGGAAACAATAGGCACAACACGCATTCTATTAAGAAATTAGAAAAAAAATAGTCAAGGACAAAGATACTGGCCCACATTTTGGGTATAATTTGGAATCCCCTATTTAAGTCAGAGTCTCCCATTGGATTCCTAAAGCAGACTTAATCCTCCCTACAACTAGAGGTTTGCCTTTAAGAACTCCCACCACTCAGCAGAGAAAGTTTGCAGGAAACGCTGCCATTGCCCTAGGCTACAAAGCCTCAGCACTCCACCAGCTAAGCCAATATTAATTCTAGATGGAAGAGGAAAACCAACAACAACAAAAGAGAAATCTGCTTCTGTCTGTACAGCCGGAGAAATAATATTTTTATTTCAAGGGCTTTTGGGCTCATGGGAAGCAGATAAAACCCGTTTCACATTATTCACAGTGACATTTTAAATAAAGGTTCAGCAGGAATAAAAATATCTACCTTTCTGGTTATTTCTTAGGCTATAAAAGTATTTCTATGATAAAGCGCTCTTAAAGCAAACCTGTTAGGATAACATAAAACACATATAAAGAGACTTAAAATATATTTCTCAGTTACATGAATGAAGTAAGGAGCTGAAAATGTCTGTGAAGGAAATTTGGAAGATTAATCTCAGAGACTATCGTGCTAGTTAGAAATGGCTTTGCAATTTAACCCTACAGTTAATCTTGTTTTTAGTTCTAATTTTACCAAAGTTTACATTTAAGAGCTTTTGGGAGACACAAAGTTTTAAACAATGTATAGATTCCACCTCGAATTGTCTGTAATATAAGAAATGATCTCAAATTAAATAATTTCACTGTTAAAATGAAGCACTTTTAATTCTCCTAAGAAAACCCCACAGCACAGCAAGAGGACAGTCCTTGCTTTGGGACATTTTAGTAGCAAGTAATAGCAAAAAAAAAAAAAGCATAGATTCAGAAATTCCTTCATGCAAATCTACATTTGATTATTTTCCTTTCTCATTATTTTGTCGACATTAAAAAAAACAGTTTCTGCTTGCTTCAGATTTAGAATATTCTTAAATTCTTGCGTTAGTGTGCACAATTTGAAGTGGACACTGGGCTGTTGTTTTTATTTTTCTAGTGATAGCCTACTAGCCAATACATAAAACATTTAAATTTTATCTATTAATTCTTTTTGTTATTAAACTACTTTTCCTTGTTATAATCATGGTACTGTTTAGGAATAGCAAATAAAACAGAGAAGTCTGAATGAGCTACAAACAGATCTTTTAAAATAACTTTACATTTTCTTAATCATTACTAATTACAGACAGAATGAAAACCATTTGGTTTCACCTCCAAAAAATTCATAGGACAAAAGGATCCCAATTTTATGTCAAATCAACATTATCCCTTAGACTACTAACAAATGACTTTAAATTTTTTTTAAAAAATTAAGTGTTCATTAAAACAACTCATTACTTACATGTGTTTTTCTCTGATTAATATATGGCAAACTGATCCCATAGTTTGCATTTACAGCAGCTCTGTGGTGGGTGTTTTCAGGATCTTGCATGATTTTTACATTCAACCCTATCTTTCGCTGAAACAAAGAAACAATGAAACTTTCATGCCAGCTGAACAAAAATGCGAACATCTTATATTCTCAGAGGAATACTAATTTCTTTAAAAATAATGTTTAAAGTAATTATCACTGGAAAATATATTTGGGTCTTTTATTTAGGCTGCTAATTAGCCCCTTTAATTCATAGAAAAGAAACGTCAGGCAGATTTCCCTCTATACATCCAATTGCTCAAGTAAATGCATCCTCCTCAGACACTATTTCTTCTCTCGGAAATAATGCTAGAAGCTAACCAAGGTGGACAAAGGACAAGAATACCTGGTCTGAATTTATTTTTAGCTCTCTAGGTCGAGGATTTTGTCAATGAAATCTATACTACAAATACACAGGTAGAGGGCTCCCTTGATCTGTTCATGTGGCCACTTTCCTCCAGGGACATATGCAGGTAGATCTCAGTTTGGACCTGATCAATTTACCACAGTAGATTTATCTGCTCTTCACAGAGATTTTGCTGTCTATAAGAATACTTTGTGCTTTCACTAGAAATAATGCAAGCATCTTGCTCACACCGATCCATTATTGTTGATGCTTAACAAGAAACCATGCCTGGGCAGCACAGTGGTGGTGGGAGGGGCACTGGACAGGGGCCGGAAGTCCTGAGCAGCAGCTCCACCCCGGACTGCTGAGTGGATTCCTGGGAAAATCCCTTCACCTCTCTGGATGTCAGTTTCTTGTAAAATGCATCAGTTTGAGTTGATCATATCCTGAACGATCCCCCAACTTTGGCATTCAAAGCTAAAACGTAACTTGACACTTAGGGCATAGGGTACCACCAACAATTTCTAAAATTTTTTGTGACTTTTTTATTATGATATAATTCTCATGCCATAAAACAGACCCCTTTAAAATATATAATTCAATGGCTTTTAATATATTCACAAAGCTATGCTTCTAGAACACTCTCATGACCTCAAAATGAGACCTCCTCCTAACCATTAGCAATCCCGTCCCTTTCCTCCTTTCTGTAGTCCCAAATAATCACTAATCCACTTCTCTATTGATGTATGTATTCTGGACATTTCATGTGAATGAAGTAATAGAATATGCACCTTTGTGGCTTACAGTATTTTTTTAAAAAGAGGCTGGAGGTACTATGAACAACCTTAAAAAGCTGACTTTAGCTCAATTAAGTATCACAGTTCTGGAGTTGAGAGTATAGCTCAGTGTTAGAGTTATACCTAGCATGCCAGTTGCCTAGCATGTGTGAAGCCCTGGGTTCAATCCCCAGTACACAGAAAGAAAGAATAAAAGGAAGGTATCTTAGTTCTGAGATATATGATACAATGTAAAAATGGTTGTAGGAACTAGCCAGATTAGATCATGATTCAGTTATTTGTTTGATCATAAGTACACATAAATGGCCTAAGGTTAAAGTGAAGGGAAAGGCTACAAAAATATTTTTGGAAGGCAATGCCGTCTAGATATAAGCCATTTCTTAACTCCTCTAAACCTTCCTTGTGTTTTTAAAATAGCATTTTAATAACCAAATCTGCAAATAACTGCCCTCAACTGTCTGCTTTATTTAACCCATGCAGAGACTCAGGTTGCAAACACAGCACATTCTGTAACTTTCTCCTTGAGGTAGATGTGATGACAAAGGTAATGTAGTGCCTAATTACAAATGGCTTTTCTTCTGTGGCTAACCCACACTTACAGCACTACTCCAGGGTTTTTGCATGGGAGCCTAGTGCCTCTTTTATTGAAATTAATACCTGAACATAATTTTTGCCTTCTTAATTAAACTTTCAGAATAATTTCCACTCTACCAAGGATCAGGAAATTGCTAATATGTATTATATTGACTAGATGTGGTTTCTGTAATTAGGATGTTTTTAAAATGTGTATTCTGGATACAGTTGATTGTAATAGCTTCATTTATCATGTCTAAGCTTTGTTAGAACTTTTTAATTCTGGGATCATTGGCTCAATGGACCAGAGTAGTATTCCTGGTTTTATTATGCTTCATCAACTTCGTGTGGTTATGGGACTGGTGCAGGGAGGAAATGACCAAATACAGAATCATTGTCAAGCGTGGCATTAATATCCAGTTGTTGTCTGGTAATTTTTGCATTTCTGAGGCACTGGACACAGATATTTTAAAAATAAATCTGTATGTAAATAGAAATCTGACAAAAATGATAGGTTGTAACCATTAATATTGTTGGCTTCTAAAGCAACAGGAAAGGTCTCTTAAAATTATTAATAGTCTAATATTTACTCTTCTGAACCAAAGTATGTGTATCCCAAAATAATAACATGTAGCATGCATGATTTAATTTCCCTATTAAAACTTATTAAATTAATATATATTTAGATAATATTAATGTATCAGATGGGTTTACTGAAAACTACTACCAAATACATTTAAAACCTATATTTGTCTTATAAACCATCTACAGGGATGTATAGAAAAATACTTGTAAGCACCAGTTATATTATTAGATCCAATAATAAGGATTTTTCCAAGAAAAAAACAATTATGGATTTTTAAAAGAATAATAAAATTAAGCATTCCATTAAGCAGAAAAACATGCTTTGGAAGATGATCATTTTTTACCAACAGTATGATAAATATCAGAAATAATTTCAAAAAATTTTCCATAAATTGGTCAAGAAAAGACAGCAATTTACTTAATCTATCTTGAGTCATTGAACAATCTAAACTTTGTCTTCTCTCCTTTTGATAGTAATTACAAGCAGATATATCAAATGTGACTCTCATTTAGACTTCGGTTTGTAAGAACAAAAGTTATTATCAGAGCCAATTACTGTTTTACCTACATGGCTGCACAGAAGCAGGGAGCTCAATTTTCATCTCATCAGTGATTTTGTGGTATTTATTTTATTACTATGCCCACAAAGCTATATAAGAAGGAAATAGCTTATGCTATTAAAACTGGGGTTGGACTATAAGAGGCTAAGGTTTCTTTTAGAAGAACTTCTGAATTAAAAACACTAGGCAGCATGTAATGCCAGCTCCCCAGACATGGGCAGACCATAAAATGACACTCATCTGAGAAGCAGCTCCCACACAGAGTAATCAAAATTGAAATGCTTCACAAACAAAGTTGAGAGAGCCTATTTGCTAAGTTACAGTATTATCAGCATAACATTATTCTCAACAGTGTTTGCCACAAGTAATGTCTTCTAAAGAAGATATTGTGTAATATATTCCCACTGGTGAAAGGCATCTGCCATTTAATCTCAGAGCCAGAGAAAAGACAAATAGGAAAGTAATTTTACCACCTTTCAATCTTATTCTCCCAACCACTGTTACACATAATAGAACAATCGACATTAAGTCCTGGTTCAAGTCCTGTGATCCAGATTTCTCAAAACTGGGCAAGATACGCAGGTTGCAAAGGTGATTTATGAGGTTCAGACACCTAATGTATTTTGAGTATCTTGGAAGAGCACTATGCTCACCGCTATACCACCGACACAGACTGTATGTTGAATATCTTGTAAATTATAAAGTACTATCCAGGGACCAACTTTAAAGGAGTTTTTACTAGCCAAAAAAAAAAAAAATCATGACTGTAATGGATTGAAATATTCCAAATATACAAAATCCCTGAGCTCTTAATATTTCCCCTTCCCTCAAAAACCTAATGGAAAAATTGGTAAATTATTTAGAAACTGATAAGTAAAAAAGGAATCAAGCCTTTATCCCCATTTTCCTTAAACAACTGTTTGCCAAAGACTCACTAAGGAATAGTTTTTCATAGAAGCTAATTAATGCTGAAGAAATGAAAGAAATAAAATTACTTCACAATTCCTAATGAAATAATATATTCAGGTAAGCATCTAACTTTACTAATGCTACTAGGTGAAAGGTTATGAAGGGTTTTGTAAAAGATCAAGCTGATAATACCTAGAGTCACTGATAAATCTTAATATTATTAAAAGAAAATGCCTTCCAATAAATTGTAAAATAAAGTACCCAGCACAACCTATGAAGTATTCTTACCAAGAAGAAAGAACCTGGAACTAATCAAGTTTATGGACCAAACTACCACTTTACAAGAAATACAAGGGACAGAGGAACACATAAAATGACACCATGAGATTGCAATCAATCAAATCCAGGTGGTAGGAAAAATTTATATGAAAAAGGAGCTGGTTTCTTCAACAAATAAATTCCATTTTTTAAATGAGGGAAACTGTCATACATAAAATGAGATACTACTACAACTTGTGAGTCTCATTTGCACCCTGAGTCAAAAAAAAAAAATACAAAAACAAATATAACTGGGGGAAACCGAACATGGACTTGGAATTATGTAATATTTAAAAAATTGTTAAACTTGTTAGATGTTATAATACTTATGTTTTTTAGAAAAAGTCCGTCTCAGTCAAATGTGGTGGCACACACTTGTGAACCCAGCACTTGGGAGACTGAGGCAGGAGCATTGCCATGAGGTCAAGGCCAGCCGGGGCTACATAGTGAGTTCAGGGCTACCCTGAACTATACAGCGAAGTTCTATCTCAAAAAACCAACCAAACAAACAAAAGACCTTCTCACAGAATATATTATAACATGAAATGAACTGACACTGCCCAAAATGTGGAGTAAAAAGATAGTGTAACAATGGTTGAAATTATGCAAACTGTGAAAACTGGGTGAAGGTTTCATGAATTTTATCTTGTAGCAATTAAAAATATATTTTCTTAATAAAAGATTAAATTAATAAAATTAAATAATAACTTTTTTGAATAATGAAATTAAAATGATGGTATGATTAAAAACGTAATTTTTTCATTATTTTATTTTTATTTCAGCTCTAATATTCTATGCACCATGACTTTCCCTCTCATCTCTTATTGGGGCTAGAAGGATCGACAAGGATAAGTCCCCCAGCCTTCCTTAGCTCCAGGCAGCTTTTAAATAGCCAAGTCCTTCAGGTCAAAACTTTAAAACTGTGCCACTTCTTCTCAGAAGTGCCCTTCCTGTTTTCTA